AATTGCCGATTTGTTCAATGAAATAAAAAATTTTTTTTACTTGGAACGAAGTTTTGTTCGATGACCTTTTGCCATCTCTCTGACAACTTGAAAATTCCACGCTCGTAGAAAGTCTGATCCTTTTCGGCCGAAAACTGAGTTAAGTGAGATTTTACAGCGTCATCATGATTANGTTTTACCACGAAGGGAGTTGTCCAGGGATCGAAATAAGTGGTAATTCGATGGCGCGAGATCGGGACTATATGGTGGGTGTAACATCAATTTCCAACCAATATCCATCAATTTTTGCCGAGTGAACAAAGACGTGTGCGGCCTAGCATTGTCCTGGTGGAAAATGACACCTTTACGATTGATCAATTCTGCTCGCTTTTCCTTGACCGCTGCATTCAATTTGTCCAGTTGCTAACATTCACGGATAATAAAAAATAACATAATAATAATAATAATTTTATAATATAACATTTACGGATATCATAAAAATGGGAGTGAGAGACATCTATAACTGAAATCAGCAATTACTTAGTTGCCAATCCAATAAATTCAGTCGATTGATGACCGAATGGATGATTAACATTAAATCTACCGCGGTCAAAGTGACCGCTTTCTTGTTTCGCAATTCTGCAAAGTTCCGAGACTCTTTCGTGGAAAACGCTTGAACAAGTTATATTATTGGAGCAAGTTTTATAATAGAAACTTTACAAATTCTAAATAAATTCGGTCTCCTCACTTTTGCTTGGTGGGTTTGGTGTTAATGAAAAATTAAAAATGATTACTTAATTTTATTAAGATCTGCAAGAAGCACGAATGCTGAAGAAGTAATCGATGCCATATAAGTTTGTTTCGTAATTTTTGTTTAATCGAATGAAATATTTTAATTTTATACAAATTTTTGAGGTTTCTAGCGGGGTCGTGGAAGCGTTAAAATAACATGAAAAACGGAAAGATGTTACTTTAAGAAACCTATACGTGAATTTGCTCGAAGCGCGTAATACGCGACAGAAAAATTTGATTTCAAGAAATCTTTACCACAGTTTGATTTCAGTAAAAGCGTTTCTCCAAAAAAGATCCGTGTTCATCTAATATTGTCGCGAATGAAAACGATCGTTCCGCTGATACGGAAGATGAAAAAGAGTTGTCATTCGTCGGTAAGATGCTTCTTATTATCGGATAATCGTCTAATAGAGTCAGATCGGTCCTTTCATCTTGCCATATAATTTCCAAGAAGTATTTCACAATTATCTCGAACAATCGACTGATTATACGAATGATTATAAAATAAAATAACACGTTGCTTAAAATAATGTTATTTCGAAATCGCGATCGCGGGCATGGAAATGACTGTGAGATAAAATCACGTGTTATTTAAAATAATGTGATTCCAAATGTGCCCATGTTTGGCGCGAACGCCGACAAGATCGTGTAATAATTTGCATCGCAGTGGCCCAGCTGTTGAACCTGGATGAGAAGAAGTTCTCCTGGGCGTTGATCAACTATTGCGTGCTCATAAGGGGCAGCGTGGTGCGCAGGAAGCACTCCTGCGAGGAGGCGAAGGAGGCGAGGGACGTGCTGGCCAACACGATCTACCAGCGGCTGGTCGACTGGGTAGTGAACACCATCAATGTGAAGTTTACAGTCACCCGCGCGTTATTGTGAGTTTCGATTCGGGATCGTGCATCCGTCAGGGTGCTAATTACGGCACCCTTTCTGGCTTTCAGCGGCGACAAGTACGTGGTCAACGTGATGGATCTTTTTGGGTTCGAGTGCATCGCGGTGAACCAGCTCGAGCAGCTGATAGTGAACACCATGAACGAACAGATGCAATGCTACTACAACCAGAGGGTGTTCGCCTGGGAAATGGTAAGCAAAACCGTCGAAAATGTTGTGTCGTCGTGTTCCCAACGATCCTCGTTTGCAGCAAGAGCTAGACGAGGAGGAGATACCCGGCCAGCGTCTGCACTTCTACGACAACAAGGAAGCGATCGATCAGCTGATGAGCAAGGACAGGGGTTTGTTCAGCATAATCGACGAGGCGTCGAAGAACATGCTCGATTATCAGTTCATTCTCGAGAAGATACAGCAACAGTCGAACAACCTGTTCGTCAAACCGGTGAGCTCGCACGAGTTCACGGTCGCCCATTACACGGGGAAGGTGATGTACGACGCCAGCGAGATAGCCGAGAAGAATCGGGACTTCGTTTCGCCCGATATGATCGAGACTTTCAGGCTGTCCAGCCTGGAGCTGGTCCAGGAGATGTTCACCAATAAGCTGACCAAATCCGGCAGCCTGACCATCATCGTCGAACATCCGAAGGTCTCGGAGAAGACGACGAGCAAAGGGAAATGGGGCGCTTTGATGCAGGAGACTTCCAAGCCGAGGGTGAGCACCCGTCATCCTCGTTGAACAAAATGGCTCGTTGGCCCCGCGAGGATTATCCTTCCGCTTGTCCAAACAGAGGTTTAACACCGCGTCCCGAGGCCAGTTCTCGCAATCGAGGAGAATGCGAACATCTGCGGCCACGTTCAAATCGGTCAGTCTCGAGATCCTGAAGAATCTCTCGGTAGGTGCCGGGAACGGTGGGGTTCACTTCGTCAGGTGCATCAGGTCGGACCTCGAAGGGGCGCCACGTGGCTTCTACAGAGAGGTCGTGAGACAGCAGATCAGGGCCTTGGCGATTCTGGACACCGCGAAAGGCAGGCAACGCGGCTACCCGTGTAGGATATCGTTTCAGGAGTTCCTCCGAAGGTAACCGCGTTAAACGTCGCCGCCATCACTCTGTATCTTGACCAGGGATTGAAAAGGTTCCGAAAATAATCGTTTCGTGCTATTGTATACGCATATCGGTTATATTAGGTCTACCGGAAAGTTCTGTCCGTTTTTGAATTGAAATATAACACAATTTTCATACATTTAATAATATTCATTGTAGAATATACTTTCCATCTTTACTTATGATTTCTTGCCAGCGCGATGACAACTTGTAAATGCCATTTTTAAAAAATGATTTATTTTTAGAGGCGAAGAACTCAACCAGTGCTTGGTTAACGTCAGCTTCAGTTTTGAATTTTTTTTCCTGTAAAAAGTTTTGCAAAGAGAGAAACAAGTGATAATCGGAGGGTGCTAGGTCTGGGGAGTACGGTGGATGCGACAGAATTTCGCAGCCTAGCTCTGCGATTTTCTGACGAGTCGCCAAAGCAGCATGTGTTCTGGCATTATCATCGGTAGCCATGTTTTCACGATCGCGTCTCACTTAATAATGACATGAGACATCTTTGTTTCAGTTTATTTAGGAGAGCACATGTGTGTAAATGCAACGATAAAGAGAGATAGTCATATATGTTAGTCCATATGATAGTCCATATGTGCATATGGATTGAAACTTGAAGTGACACTATCGGACAGAACTTTCCGATAGACCTAATAGTTACAATTTCCCTAATATGTACGTTCCGTCATCTTCAGATATTAACCCGTTGCATTATAACGACGAATCAAAATTGTGGTGAACATTTCATACGTAATCTAAAAATATGAGTCATTTATTTATTTCAAATCGAAACAAAATTTAATTCTTGAGTTATTATAGTGTAGGAATGAAGCAAATGCAGACGTATAAGAAAGAAAAATTGTCTCGTTCTATCAGGGAAATGATTAAAGACGAAAAAGTACTAATCGATACAGTTGTAAAAGAAATCGTAGTGCAGTGGTCAGTACGAATTCTATATTTAAGTTAAAAACGCGTCTAGAACCGAAAAATAACAGTTTTAGAATCAACATGAAATCGGTTCTGAAAAACCAAAAGCAAAATCGATATACCTTATAACAGTTGCCTCATACGGATTCTCCATAACTGTCTCAAGAACCGGAACCGACATCATAACTGTTCTCAACTCTTGATTGTGTGATCTCTTAAGGTATCAGTTTCTCGCATTCGATTTCGACGAGACCGTAGAAGTCACCAAAGACAACTGTCGTTTGCTCTTGATCCGATTGAAAATGGAAGGCTGGATGCTCGGGAAGTCCAAGGTCTTCCTGAAGTACTACAACGAGGAGTATCTGTCGCGGCTGTACGAGACGCAGGTGAAAAAGATCATAAAGGTTCAATGTATGATGCGAGCTTTCCTAGCGAAGAAGAACATAGCGACGAAGATCACGGATTTAACGAAGAAAGAACTTGGTAGGTAAACCGATCTTCGATGAGAGCAACGTTAGGCGCGAGTCGTTTCCCCTTTCCTCTCTCTTCTCTTCTTCTCTTCCCTCTATTCTTGAGAGGCTCGTGCGTTTTTGTCCGCTACGAGAAATTTAACGGGTATTGTTTCAGCGAAGCAAGCGTCCTTAAGAAGGATGGCGACGGTGGAGATAACGGAGGAGGAGGCGGCGCTGATATTGCAGAAAGGTAGGGACGCTGGTGAAGATTCGCGCGCGAAAGGCGTTTGATTTTTTACGAGCCCGTTAGTGCCGGAGATGCAATTGTTTCGCGTATCGATCCGGCCACATTTGATCGAACATATCTCTTCCATACCTCTTGGGAGCAGCGTACAGGGGTCACTTAGTGAGGAGGGAGTACGGACCCCTTCTCGGCAAGTCTCACTTGACACCGGAGACGATGGATATGATGAAATTTTACAGCAGCAAATGGAGATCGAAGAGCATGTTCCAAGTCCTCCTACATTACCGTGCAGCCCGTTATCAAGACCTCGTGCAATTCTCGCAACAAGTGAGCAATCTCTTTCGCAAAGATGACAAAGATAGCTTTCCGGGTTTTTCCGCGAGCTTGACCGAGACTTGACCGTTGCGAACAGGTGCATTTGTTCAATCAAGCGACGATAGCGACGCTCGAGGTGATGAATGACGAAATGGTACCATTGGACAGGATCGACACGAACATTTCACCGCAATCATACTTAGGCCAGCTGAAACCACCCCAAGTGCACAAGCTACCGTTCAACTTTTATAACGAGTTACCCTACTTCGAAATGACGGGTAACAGTGAACAGGAATGTCTTGGGTGAGTCGACTAAGTTAGCTCGCGTCGTCCATGTCTTTCACGTTGACCGGGTAGAACCAATAGTTGGCAAAGCGATAGATATCATCCATCATTGATCTCTATGTTTCATCGTGCCGTGAGCGTACATGCATATCCGTACAATCAGCCATATAATCAGCGCGTAGATCATCGTCGAACGACGACTCTTGAATATTCTACACCCCGAATCTGTACACGTAATTTGCTTTTGTATTTCGGGCACTTCGGCTTTCGCCTCTTTGTCTATCGTCTTTGTGCTTTTTTTGTCGTTGCGTTGAGCGCGGGCTCGTTGTTACATTCGCTCTCTCCGTTGTGTGCCGTCTCTATCGAAGTAAGCGTCGCTTATGAGCTCTTCCGGAGACTTCTGGCATCAACTGAGAAATACGTTCTCGCAGATCCGCGACGTCGTTGGTGTCTGACGACGAGCACGAGGCCTGGGACGCGCCATTACGGAGACATACGATGCCTTGGGCCATCAACAACGCTCGTACCAGAGGTGCCTATCACGTTTTGTTTCATCCGATCAGGACGATCAGCGACAATGACACTCGTGAATCGTACGATTCTACGCTCGCGCGAAAGAAAGCACAACTACTTTTCAGCCATTTTTACCAAAACTATCTTCGATACTTCTTACTCTTCTTCTTTCCTCTCTCTCTCTCTCTTTTTCCTCTTTTCTCCTTCTGCACGTGATCGAGTCGGATCGAGCGCGATCGACCAAGATCGACCTTATGAATCACGCGAATCGGAGATCCGTCGCGAAAAAGCAACGCGTTCGTCCGACTCGTCGCGATTACCATCAGACTTATCTTTCTCTATTCCCGCTTTTCGGTCGTATGTTACCCGTAAGTGGAGAACGATCGCATAACGCGTAATCGCATTAATAGTAAGTGGATAACGATCGATTCTTTTTGGGTGGCGACTGGTTTGTACACGGAGAGAACTCACCTCTCCAACCGGATTGCTCTGCATTTTTCAGACGTCGAGGTGCAAACGACGAACTCGCCACATCGAGTGGCACAGCCGAGCAGCGAGGGGAAGAGTCTGATCGACACTCCGTTTTCCAGGGACCCGAATACCGCGGTCCGAGTTCCGCCGCAACGAACGACCGAAATCGGAACGGGTAACTCCGGATATCAACATACTTCTTCGAGCCATCGTAGTCCCGCGCCAACTGTCCACCCTCATAATCCTCACTCAGTAAGTTTCCCCGATTTTCCCTTCCGAGCTCCCTCCTCCTCCTCCTCCTCCCGGGTTCGACCGGAACCGGAACTCGCCTCTTCTCCATTTCTTCGATCTCTTTTGCAGAACGATTATGATACCGCCGAGTCGACACGTTCTAAAAATAACGCACCACCACCACCTCCGTTCGATCAGACACAATCGCCCACGCCCCCACGCATCGATCCTTACAGCACGAACTCACGCAGGAAAAGCAACCCCGGTATGAGCGAGATGGAATTCGAGGACAGGACGAACAGAAACCCCAGCAACCCTAATCGGTTTGATCGCGATTCTTAAACCAGCGCGAAAACCTTCGAAGATATCCAATTCGTTCTCGTTTCTCTCCGTTTGTTGCAGCATCAATCCGATCCAGGAAATGCAGATGATCGGACGCAGGAACAACAACGACGACGAGGACGCCGACGAGCCTCCGTTCAACTTTCAGGTCAGTTCGCTGAAGCCTTTTAGACGCGACTTCTTTTTTTTTTGCAGATACGCCAGTCGGCTTTTGTTAACGACGGCGTTCGTTCGCGTAGGCTATGCTGAGGAAAACGAGCCATCAGCGGGCGTCGATGAAGCGCAATCCCATCTACGACAGCTATTCACCGTCGCCACTGCCAAGTTTGGGACATCGTGGAAGCCGCGAATTCGAATCGAACGTCGTCTACAGAAGCAAAGACTCTGTAGCTCGCAGAGACTCGTCCGAGTGGAGTCCCAACGATATGGTACGGATGTCCGAAAAGTATAGCAGGGAGGTTGCCTGGGGCGAGGAACGATCCGACGATCGGATCAACGCTGCTGCCTCGGATAGTGTCACCACCGCCGAGATTGCGCCGGGAATCGTTATCGAGGGTTACGTGGCCGAGTTGTAAAATTCGAGCCAACAACCGAAAAACTTCTTGCGCGTCGAGCCAGAATAAAAACTGGATCAGTTGGAATTGCTAATATACCGCGAGAAGTCAAGAGAGGATGATAGAGGGAAAAAGAGAAAGAGAGAGAGAGAGAGAGAGAGAGAGAGAGAGAGTCGGAGAGGGAGAGAGTAAGGGAGAGTGAGAGAATAAACGAGAGAATGAAAGACAGAGCAAAAGAGAGATAGAAAGAGAGAGGAAAAAACCAAAGAGAAGAGCCCGAAAGATACCTGTAGCTGTCCCGACGGAAACAAATGCACGGACTCGTATGATCCAAACGAACGATACCCCAATCCACCAACGTTGCTGACTCGGAGAGAATTTCTTTTTATCCACAATATATGTACATACGATATATTTTCTATTGCGTTTCTTTTTCTGATTTATAACAAAAATAGAAAACGAACTCTCTATCGCCGCGGTCGTTTGTCGGTGAAGAACTTGTTTTGTAATTTCCGTACCTCGAGAAGCCGGTACATCTCTGTCTAATGTACAATAACTTTCATCGAACACGTTTCCATTCAGAACAACGCGTCAAGTTTCTCAAACAGTTAGCAATGCTCCTTACCGACGCGAATATTTAATCACACTTTTTATGTTGGCCGAGCCTAGCGAAATCGCACGACCGACGTTCAAACAGGCCGAACGTAAACGTAAACGAAAACAAAAACAAAAACGAAAACGCAAACCGAAATTGAAACTTACAGAGATATCCTGCAAACAGACGACCTCGATGAAATTATACGACAGCGAACGTTCGCGTCGTGCGATCGTTCCGGGACAAAGAGTTATTAAAAATTCGTGTGTATTTTGTAAGCAACACCTTCACATTATTTTACTGCATGCAACGATATTCATTTATCGAACGAATCACGTAACCGATAGCAACAAATTACCAAAAAAGTAATCACGACCCTGCACGATCGGTTTCAAATAAAAGCACGAAATTCCCGTCACGTTTTACGAGCAAATATATTTATAAAAGTTTCAATCGACTGATGCACGATACTGTCAAGAATATTTTAAAGAATAAACGATTAACAAACAGGTTATACGAATAGTCGCTTGATTTACGGTCGCGCGAAAAAGGTCCTATTCCTATTTTGTCCCGCGTTAAACGTTTATTCCTACAATTTTTATTGCGTGTATAAAATTCTTGTTAATACAACAATAAAAGTACTGTGCGCAACACAGCGCGATACTGGCCGTAGGCGATGACTATCGAAGCGAATATGTACACGTACAAAGAATGTATAACGACAATATACACATATAAAAACTTAATGAAAAGGAAACAACAGTCGCGAGCTGCGCGTCGAGGCACTTGTCGAGAACGCTCCAATTTCATTCAATAACAAATTTGTTAGCGCGCGACTCGTCGTGTCGGTACAATCCCATACGAAGTGTGTAAAATCGGTGCGTTCCTCTGAACGCAGAATTGGTTCGTTAACAAATAAATATACATACGTTAACGTCACGATTTGAAACATAAGATAGGCTCTCGTTGGACGAACGTCGAGAGCGCGATATACAATTTTGTTTCCGGGAACCGTTTATAGAAGGAAACGTTACAGATTGCGCGGTGCAAACGATCTCAGCCCTTGTTGGACCGTGGATTGTCCTGATTACTGCTCTGCTGAGAAGTTTGCTTAATTATGTTGACTAAAGTGTCCAGTCTGGTGGGACGCGCGATTTGCAAAACCATGTGCGCCTCCTCCAGGATCAAGAGACCGTTGTGCGCATCGACCGCCGAGAGATTGTGCGCCACGATCACGTGTCGTCTCCAAGCTGCATGCGTAGGCAGAACCTGAAATACATCGCCGTTAGATTATTCGCTCTTTTCAGCAAAGGAAAAGAAGGGTATATAGGCGGATGCACCTGTTGGCAACATACCTGCAAACACCATTTGCAATTGAGAGACGGCGAAATCGTGTGGACGGCTTTGATGTGTCTCCGCCGAAAACCCCAGCTCGTGTACGCTCTGTCGCAGAAGGGACAAGGGAACGGAGGGTATGCCGTACTTCCTTTCTCTTCCGGAAAATCGGAATTGCCAGCGGCACCGGCGCAGCTCGGGAAGCCGGATCGCAGAACCCTGCCCTCTCGATCGACGAGCAGATTCGTGGGTTCTCGTTGCTCGGGTATCGACTCTGAACACGATATGTTCGTCGAAGGGTAGACATCCTCGATGGTTTTCGAGGACGGAGTCCGATCGAGGCCGATCGGACAGGTCCTAGGCTCCGGCGAAGGAGACGAAACCTCGCGCGCCTCGGCGATCACGGTTACGCTCGGCTTCGAAGATCCTGCAAGTAATTCCAGTCGGGTACTTGAAAACCTTTCTCTCCTCACCCGAGTTTTCTGTGGTGTCGCTTCGCAGGAAGAAGAGGAGAATATGTGGGACGTGTGTCGAACGGTTCGTCGGACGATGCGACGGAACCGAGGAACAATGGATTCGTGGAACGTTTTTCTCTTCTTGCAGTCGTCGGACCCTGCTAAATTATCTTAATCGCGTCTAAGGACTCCTGTCGAGCCGGGAAATGACGAGACAATTAAAAATGTAAAATAGGTTTATTTGCAACCAGTCGCGTGTATTTTGTCTACAGTTGTATATGTTATAGTTCGAAACAATATAGTCAACTCGAAGCGTATCGTACCTTCGCGAGATCAAACGACGAAACGAAAGGTGGCAAATAAACGCGCGGGAAAAACAAGGTTTCGCTCGATTATCATATTTCTTTTGTTCTCGCTCGAACGAAACCGCGAATGAAAAAGTATCGTGCGCCGTCGATAGATGCGAACCGTTTGCGGACACGTAATCCGCGTTTATAATACTCTAGAAGCATGCCTTAGATTAATATTCTTTCACCGTGAGGGGGGCCACGATTCCACACGTTGGTGGTTGTTGCCCTCGGAACGCGGGTTCAAAGTCGGTCTTCCTCTTTGCATCTAATTACAGATTGCTAGTCGAATTTCGATTTTTCTAATCCGCGACAGTACACCGAGTAAACGTTCACCTAGGTGTGTAACTATGCGCGTGTACAATAATGCGTGTGATCGTGGATGCCGTGCCTTCGAGTGTAGCAAGGTCTTCTTAATATTATTGTATTTGTAGTTCCGTGTTACGTAGATCGTCTACGACGAGAGTGCATTAATTGCGTGAACACTGCAAACGAACAACACGAAGGAATGTTACGTTGAATTACCATAGGTACATACGAGGTACGAGGATACGACAGATAAGTCCAGATCACCGAAGGATCGGCCGTCCTTGTGAAACAACTAACAAAAAGAAAACTAAAGAAGAACCGAGAAACCGAGCGGATTAGTCGAAAGTAATTGGATCGTTCGCCTCGTGAAAGAAAACTCTATGCGCGTTATCCAGTAGGACCGACCCTGCCTGGAATGCTTTCCATTTCCTACTATTTCTTCGAACGTATGTATATTGTTTCCTTTTCTGAGTGGTTCGCGATCAACGTCAGCTTCCCCATTCGCCGACCCTCGCTTTGCGTAGCTTTATCCATCGTCATCGTCATCGTCGTCGTCATCGTCATCGTCATCGTCATCGTCGTCGTCGTCGTCATTGCCGTTCGCTATCGCGCTAGTTAACTCTCGTGTCTCCCTTATCGTATACTATGAGTGCTCGTCCGTGGGACGATTCGATCGGGGAATCGAAAGACGACGAGAGAAGAACGGTCACGGAAACCTCGAAGCGATCCGAGGCGATCCGTGACGATCGCAGATGGTCCTAAACGTTTCCGGGCAGTTCCGATCGGAACATTTCGGACGAGACTGGACGAGTATTTCCGTTCATTCTAGCCAGTGAAAACGTTTCCGTTTGATCCCTGACCTGAAACGCCCTAGTCATTGAGTGTAGACCGACCGCCTCTGGAACAAATATCTTTTCAAGCCCCTATTGCTAGTGTCGATCTTGGTCACGCAGTTCTTCCATGTCTCCTCCCATTCGACGCTATTGGGTGCGATACCGCTAAAGTGCAACAGAACTTCCCTTATCAAATGTATTTTGTTACTATCGAACTGCTGTTTGCCCATCTTGCCGTTTACGTTACAGAGAATCCTCTCCTCCGGGGTAAAGAGGATCTTCATAAGGTCACAGGCCAAATGATCCATCGGTCGAGAAGTCGCCCAGGTTGAAATAATCTCCGGGCTCGGCAGAAGATCGGCGTAAGGTAGCTGCTGATACGCGTAAAGCAGCGGCTTCACGTCCGAGAATCCAGTTAGGCCGGATAACCCAGATAAACCGGAAATGTCTTCAGCAGGGCTGTTCCCAGACCCTGCCACACACATCAGAGCACAGCCGGCTTTAAACACGGATCCCCCTGACACGCGTGAGATTGGGTTGCAGCGAGTTGCAGCGAATTGCAGCGGATTGCAACGAATTGCAGCGAGTCGCAGCGAATCGCACCGAGCAGCGAAGATCGATCGATCGCGTGCGTCTATCGTTCCATTTATCTTTCCATTTTTCTCTTTGTTTTGTTTCGTTTCATTTCTTTTTTTAGTAGAGAACCCGAGATCTCTCGATACTACCGACAAACGGAACGATCCCTCTTCCGACTAAATACAATATTTTCCTCTGCTGTAAGTGCTAGCGTCGCTCTAAGTTCGACAAGCCGATGCTGCCTTCGCCTGTGCCCCTAAAAGCCCCCTTTGGATCGTCTCAATCGTTTGCTACCCGCGCGCGGTTTCCTCCTCTCTCTCTAGCGATTCGCTTCGCGCAACAACGAAAAACAAACGAAAGAAATACGTGCGACACCAATCTAATAAAGCAGAAGTAACGATCAAAGCTGGCTCAACGATTTTCGGCAAGCGACCAAATAACAAAACGATACGCAACAATCGAAGGGAGTATTTCATTCGACTCGGTGCTCCGTCACTTTAGATTTCACAGATGATTTCAAACGCGTATACATCTACGCCGAGGACCTCGATGTACACATGTTTCTTTCTCCTTCGCACGACTGTGCACAGCTTTGGGTTCAAACAAATCCCACAACCAATTGATTCGAATCGATGGAAATCTTCGGATAGAGCAACCCATTGCGCATGGATGGTTACAGTGCCTTTTTGATCTTTCTATCGAATTTAGAAGTCTAACTAAGAAGAGAGGCGATAATATGCACGCAAACGTGTGGAACATAAAACATATAAATTGCAGGAAACGAAATCGTAATGCGTTTCGCAAATAAAACATTAATGCTCGATCGTGTTTGTTCAAGTCTACGAGTTTGTTCGAGTTTCTTGCGTACTCACCTTGGTTACCCTCGACTTGCCCGGTGTCCAGTCTCTCCACAGGATCTTTGTCCACTGCCGATTGCTTCTGAAGCTCCTCAACTGCCGATTCCAGTGGCTCGATCTGAAATACGGTCGATTGAGTACCGTATACTTCTCTCGTTTGAACATTCCGAACGCAACAAGCTTTTACCTTCATTTCCAAACGATGGTAAACCGGATTCTGAACAGTTTTCTGCGACGGATAATCCCCATCTTTTCCACTTTGATCGCTGGTGGTCGACTCGTCTGTGTTTTCCAACTGTGATACACTGGGTGCCAGTACAGTTTCCAGGATAGAATTGGCCTGATGCTTCAACTTTTGCTTTTTCTTCGGCGCGTCTTCCTTGGCAGTGCCTGCTTCCTCTTCCACGGCTTGTTCCAATTCGGCCAATCTCTTGTAAGACTCTTTAGCGAATATATCTCCGCCAGAGAGTCCTCGGATTTGCAAGGTCTCCGCAGCTTTCAGCAAAGCCGGCAAGTTCTTCTGTTCTATATTCACCTCTCCCTTGTATATAAATATAAGTAAGGCTTCCAACTCGCTGAAGTGTACATCTTGCAATATTATAACTGGATGCTGACACGGGTTAGTCTGCAACGGAGAAAAAGAATAATGTCTAAATGCGACAGATGCGGAGATACATTGTAATTTAAAAGTTATGCTTCGAATTTGCATGCGTCGAAAATATATTAGAATTTTACCTTCTCGATACAAACTATTATCTATAAAAAAGACTATAGCGGAAAGATAAAAGGAATCCATTAGAAAAATTCAATCGGTCTTGGATCGCAAATGACCCAGAATCAGCTGAGCTTAAGAGATAAAAAACAGATGGTCAACAAGATGTTCCAAACAGAATTTCAAGATTTCTGAACCAAGAAATTGTCTTTAGGTTAATGCATCGCATCAATTGCGGTAACCAGACTGTGTAAATCTTGAAATGTTTGTGGCACGACAAATTGGTAAAAGGTTCATGTTAACAAACATTAATACTACTTCTATTCGGCACTGATTCGAAAAAATTTTCTAATAATCTACAAAGACGCTAATAAAATAGCCTATAGAGATAAGAGTGTGGTGAAAGATCCACAATCTAGTAGCAACACGGTGAAATTCGTGGGAGGAAGCCAGCTGTCAAACTTCGAACGGGATCGCGTACGAGCGCCGAAATATAAAAGGTGAAAACAGACGAACCTGGAAAACTTTCTTGAAGAACGGGCTACTGGCAGAGAGGATGACTTTGTGGGCCGTAAGACATTGTCCATCGCTTGCCAGGGTCACGTCGACGAGACCTTCCTCTTCCCAAAGGCTCTCGAAACTGGTCGCGATGTTGTTCAAAAAACTGTTCCACTTCAGGCATATTTGACTTGACATCTCGCGGACAGGGATCGCTGACTCCGTTCGAATCTAGATTGGCAATTCACCGTCTCGGTCGTTATATCGCGTCGACGACGATTAAAACACAACTCGGGCAACAATGTCAATCGAAGACGTCCACGACGACGACAACGACAACGATGACAGCGATCGCGATGTAACAGCGATCGTGCCAGGCACGCACAAACATCCTTGGCGCTGGGTTGGCTATACATAGTCAATATGGCCGCCATACTCCACTCGTTGAATTGCGCGCGAGCCTTAGAAACGCTTATCGACGTACCCTATGCTATATTCCCTATTATTTACTCGCCATTCCAGTATTCGAACCGAAAACAATCGGGAAATGTATAACTCTCCCTGTCCTGTCTTCGTTTTCGTCAGAAATTTCAATGATTTATCTTCGTTATACGAATTTTTCGATGACAGTAACCATTTTAATCATGAAGAGTCACAATAACCATTTCTTGCGGGATTGTCATCACGAAAGAGATTCTTGTTTCCTTTTTTGTTGTAGCACAATTGTCCTGGAATCCTCTGTGATCGATTTCCGGTAGATAAAGCGCTAAAAAATCTTTCGATCTTTTTCCTTTATTCGTTCGATTCGTCTTGGAACGAATGTTGTTCTGCTAGAAGCCTCGTACACTAATGTAGGATTAAAATAGTGCAGGATTAAAAGCAACGATTTCTTCCTGCAAATCGACCATAAAAATAACACGAATGTATCATTTGCTGCTCTGTATGACTCGTATAAAAACTAAATTAAATACATCGATGGAGTTGCTAACAGATTGAACGAATACGTTCCGAGACATCAACGGGATTGTTGACATAAAATATTTTTAGATCTCTGCATAGGGGTAGAACATGGGGTAGCGTTCGCGAGAGCGTTGAACGAAGCTGTTAGAGAGTAAGATCTTTAGGGTAAAGCAGAATATGAAGAAATTGGAAGCGGTATATCAGTGTTTTAAAATAGCGAACATGTTTGCGCAGTGGCGTGCGTATATCGTCGGATATACAGGTAGAATACAAGTGTGTAGGTGCATCGCGGTTCCCTCATGCGCGCACTCTCGCGTGTCTGGTTGCTTGCGTGAGTTCGTATCCCACAACAATGTTCCGTAATCGTTAAGGTTCCACCTCTCTTTGCGTATCCAACCTGGGTACACTGAACTACACGAAAAAAGATTTTTCTTATGCGCGCAGAAAATAGCGCTTGCAAAATAAAACCTCGCAAATTTTACGATTACACGCGTTTTGAAAGTTAACCGTTTGAGTCCTAGTGGTCATTGAAAAAAAGCAAAGTCGAAAAATGCCGAACAGCACGATGGGACTTGTCTTAATATGAGCCGTTTATTTTGAAAGTGGCATAAGACTTTGTTTTTAAGTCGATATATTCAAGGGTTTGCGTTTTAACACGTTTAAAAATATGGATGCTAACTTTCGAGAAGATTTCGTATAAACATTAAAAAATCACCACTTTTCATGACGGTAAAGTGATTTATGCCACTTTCAAAATAAACGGCTCATATACTATTAGTTTACTTACTTTACTTTAGTACTATTAGTTTATAAATATTTCAAATTTTGTTCAATAAAAATTATGTAGGAGATTACAATGAAATACGAAATGTGTTAGCTGCAATATTTACATTAAAAGCAGCAACTATGAGATGTACAGTTCGCACAAAAGTGTTCGTACGGCAGGATAAAATTTGTTCAATTCAATCCTACTAGTTTTTTTTTACATAACGTTCCCTCGGAATGTGTTCACATATAATTGAGCCGTTTATTTTGAAAGTGGCATAAGTCACTTTGTTTTTAAGTCGATATATTTAAGGGTTTGCGTTTTAACACGTTTAAAAATATGGATGCTAACTTTCGAGAAGATTTACTTGTATTTGTTATCTCAGGATACTGATATTTTTCTCAGTATAAATAATTTCGTATAAACATTAAAAAATCACCACTTTTCATTACGGTAAAGTGACTTAAGCCACTTTCAAAATAAATAGTTTAGAAAAATGACTGACATATATTAATTTTGTCCGACGTATTTTACTGAAGTGATGTTTTGAAAGGACAGTGATTTACTAAAATTGTTGAATAAATTACATATATAATAATAATTTATACCATGAACATATTTAATATAAAGGTTTGATTTAAGTATTTTTTATTTTAATATTCATAAAATACAAAATTATACACTAAAAAAAACAAAAACAAAAAGAGAATATAAATATAGCATAATTTATTAAATAGAAAGAAAGTTTCCTTGTTCATTTCTTTTTTGTACTTGTAATTATAGTTACATAATGAATTTGTTAAATTACTGCTTCCGTTGAATTTATATGAAATACAATAATTTTATTTATATACATTAGATAATACGTGTTCTTTAGAATAATACATAGTATACGCCATTTATTTAAAAAAAAGTTATCCTATTGGATAAAACATGGAGAACGAAAATTGTCGTGATACTAGTTATTTTAAAATTATATACTATTTTTTCGCACTTATAAGAATAAGTCCAGTGATCACAACATTTTTAAAAATACTGGAAATAATTCAAACCAATACTTCACACACACTTAATTAATTAATTAATTTCCTGAGTACAGGGACTTACACCACTTTCAAAGTAAACATGTTTGTTATACCGTTAATTAGCAAAACTTCTCTCGAACAAATCTCAATAGTTCTCAACTTATTGATTGTAAATTTTTTAAAAATGAAAAGATACCGTTCAATTGTAATTAGTGTTACCATTAACTCGATTTTTTTGAAAAAGTGACTTATGCCACTTTCAAAATAAACGGCTCAATTATAGGTTGAGTAGTCCGATGTCGATTCATTTTTTTAAAACAATTCATTCTAGCTAAAGTACGCATTACACCTCCCTTGTGAACATCGAGGAATATCACAACAGTGAAACAGTTGAATGATCATCGTTTCTGTTCACTAGTTATCATTGGATCTAATTGATGGTCCAAGTTAAGCAGACTCGGCACAAGCAGAGCTGTGCAAAGTCAATTACATTGTAATTTAATTTCGTAATTTTATTACATTGTATTTCCATTGCATAATAATTCAACTACGCTGTAATTTAATTACATGATTCAAACCTCGCTAATTATTTTAATGACGAGTATAATTCAAATATGATATATATAATTGAAATACAATTATGCAAATTACAGTCTTACCTATTTCTCTTATTATTGGGTTGTCAGGAAAGTTCGTGCCGATTCTCGGTAGGTAGCGTGAGAGACCTGACTGAATATATCACAATTATTGAAAACAAATGACATGTGTACATATTCTAAAAGAGATAACTTCAGTCATATTTGGAAAAAAGCTTGATTACGATTCGTTAATTTTTATCAGTTTCGTACGCCTTAGAATATGGTGGCAAACAAAGTGCATTATAGGCATATAATGCTTTTCTTTTTCCGAAAGGGCAAAAATGCCACACAAGCGGCAAAGAAGATATGCGCTGTTTATGGCGAGGATGCTGTAGCCGAAAGTACTGTGTGGAAGTGGCTTGCTTGATTTAAAGCTGGAAATTTTGATCTTGAAGATCGAAAACGCCCAGGTAGGCCGTCCACCACAGACGAAGATATGATTAGAACAGAAATCGAGAATAACCCACGCTCAACATTACGTCAATTAGCAGGAATGCTAAATAAATCAAAATCAACCATCCACGATCATACTGTGAAGCTTGACTCCAATATTTAAATGAGCTGCGTTTTAATTTTCCTAAAAAATCGGCACGAACATTCCGGACAACCCAATACTTATTAATTTATTAGCTTTTAATTGGTAAGTTTAATTCAATTACATTGTAATTCGTACTTAATGTAATTTAATTTAATGGAGGTCTGATTTATGAATTACAATGTGATTATAAATAATGAATATAACTGAATAATTCAGTTGTAATTCTGCACAATTCTGTATACAAGTCGGTACCTGAATATGTACAATTTATATATTTACACAACATTTCATGGATATTAAAAGTAATGTCCTTAAAACTACCCAAATAAAATTAATGCGTTTTTAATGAAACGAACACCGCTGCGCATACAAAAATTTACCTGGTCATCCCCTAATTCCTAAATTCCCACGACCCACGGTAGCCATATTTCAATCGTAGCTCGAGTACAATGACGATGTTAGAAACTCATTTCGGTCGAGCCTTCTATTAATGACTTTATTACATCTTACCTAGTCGCCTGAGCAGATACTAGCGTTTCGAAGTAAGTATAGCTGGTTTTCGGCACCATCACGCAGTATTAAATTTTGTGTCATAAGGTCCCAGGCCATTTTAAAGCTGGTCATTAGTTTCAATAATGGAGTATTTATGCACCTTCTTGTACGAAGACATTTGTGATCCGTTATATTTATACCATATAATAAATATACATAATTTAATTAAAGGGAAAAGACGGTTCCTGTTTATCTACCCCTACACAGTTTCTCAGTATCCTGAGATAACAAGTACAAGTAAATCTTCTCGAAAGTTAGCATCCATATTTTTAAACGTGTTAAAACGCAAACCCTTAAATATATCGACTTAAAAACAAAGTGACTTATGCCACTTTCAAAATAAACGGCTCATATACTATTAGTTTACTTACTTTACTTTAGTACTATTAGTTTATAAATATTTCAAATTTTGTTCAATAAAAATTATGTAGGAGATTAAAATGAAATACGAAATGTGTTAGCTGCAATATTTACATTAAAAGCAGCAACTATGAGATGTACAGTTCGCACAAAAGTGTTCGTACGGCAGGATAAAATTTGTTCAATTCAATCCTACTAGTTTTTTTTTACATAACGTTCCCTCGGAATGTGTTCACATATAATTGAGCCGTTTATTTTGAAAGTGGCATAAGTCACTTTGTTTTTAAGTCGATATATTTAAGGGTTTGCGTTTTAACACGTTTAAAAATATGGATGCTAACTTTCGAGAAGATTTACTTGTACTTGTTATCTCAGGATACTGAGAAACTGTGTAGGGGTAGATAAACAGGAACCGTCTTTTCCCTTTAATTAAATTATGTATATTTATTATATGGTATAAATATAACGGATCACAAATGTCTTCGTACAAGAAGGTGCATAAATACTCCATTATTGAAACTAATGACCAGCTTTAAAATGGCCTGGGACCTTATGACACA